AGATACTCCACGCTGTCCGAGCAGCTGTGGTCAAAGTCCACGCTGGGCGCCACCTTGGAGCTCCCGGGCCCCGCCACTGAGGGGACCCCGACCGCCGCCATCGCCATCAGGAAGGCTCGGACCCACAGCCAGGCGCATGCGCAGCAGCGCCGGCGGTCCAGCGAGCCCCGCGCCACCAAGAGACTGCAACTCCCAGCGTGCCCCGCGTCTTGGGCGACAGACAGAGGCTGGGGGCTCCCGGACACTTGGGGAGGGGGCGGGGCATCGGCACACGTGGGCTAGGGGCCTCCCCCCACGCGCCACGCCAGGCAGGTGCAGGGACTGGCGGGCTGGGGCCAGGGAATTCCTGGGGCGCTCAGGTGGCGTTTGGAACAAGAGCGTGTTACCAGGCCCAGGTAGAACGGCACCAGCTGGCCGCGCTGCTTTCAGACCCTTCCCCCAACACATTTGGGAATAGGGTTGTCACATGGTTTAAACAAAAATACCCGACGCACTTGCCCTGACATCACAATTTAGAAAATACTGGACATTTATATTTTCTCAATTTGTTTCCCAACTAGAAAGCTCAAATACTGGACGGTCTGGTTCCAAACTGAACACCTAGCAACCCTATCTGGGAATTTATTTCAAGTCATAGATCTGAAATCTAGGTGATTTCCATGGAGAGGTAGCGCCCCTGCTTACTGCAATCCCAGCCCTAGGGCTGGGATATGACAGGTTAGAAAAAAACAGCTGCAAATCAAACTGTAAAACCTGTTCCCAGGCAAAGCTAAATCCAAACCTTTTAGAAAATTTCATTAATTAACCTATGTGATGTTAAGCAACTCTGAAATACCATACAATGCAAAAGCTAGGCAGGAATTCATTGTCATTTCTGTGATTAAAAATGTATTCAAATCAAGGATGTCTTCTCTCCAAAGCTATTATTTAAATTTGTATAGAGTACTAATGCCAATGAGCAATAACTTCAGGCTTCCTGGAGCACCCTGGTATCCAACCAGTTCTGAAGCAATAGCTATTCCTACACAAACACGGCTCCAGCAAAATCTCTCTCAACCCCGATAGTCCAGTAGGGCTGGGAAAGACTGGAACTCAGACTCATTCCCAGACCACCACCCACCTAGAGATTAGTCACTATAGCATGGCAGGTACACAAAATTTTTCCTCATCTACCTAAATGTTTCCCTCCTTTTCTTAAGTTAATTCAGTTATTCCTAATGATTTTCCTCCCCCAATGCTTTGCCATATTCAACAATCCTACTTGTGCTCTCTCTCCCTAGGCATCAATCAGCTAACAGGTATCTATGTACCTTTTCTGGTCATTCCCTCCTAACACAGCCCCAGATCATTTCTGCCACTCTCCTACAAGTGCCCTCTTGTCCATCAGTACATTGGTGCCCAGAACTGAATGCACTGCCTTATTACAGCTCAAAGGGACAGACACTGGAGCGTTTAGTTTTTTTCCTTCCTGCTCCAAATCCCCAGTTACACTTAGACCCAGAGTAAGCCCCATACCACAGGCTTTACTGGAAAACCTTGGAGGTGGGCAGGTTGTTCTAATGCCCTCCCCCACAGCACTGTAGAGGACATTAGAGATTTATGTTAGACCACATTTCTAGCATAAATTAGAAGTTACAAACTGGATTATAAACCAGAAATAAGTTTAACTATGAAGATGTGGATATAGAGGTGGCAAATCATAAATACTAGGACTGGAAGGAGAGGGGAGCGCAACCCCAAAAACCTCAGGAACCATTTACCTATGGTACTGACAGATACCTGAACAAAGAAAGCACTCATTTACTGAAGGCTTCATGTGCAATGCCACTCTATCCAGCAGTACAGTAGTCCTTATTAGAAGTAAACAACAAATGTCTCATGCAAATCTAGAGATAGGCTCAAACCAATATCACGAAGGGCACACGCTTCAGAAGGAGCTGCCCCTAATTAATTTACAAATGAAGATAAGCTTGGGCAATACAATAGGAATCCTCTAACAAAATTAGGGAGAGCCACAATGTTAGTAACAGTGTCTCCGTGTTGAATGCTCTTATTTCAACATTTAAACCTACAATCCAATTCTTTAATCTGCCTTAATAAGAATCAAAGGAAGAATGTGGAAGTGCCTATGGACTAGTCAATGGAAATTCCATTGTCTTCTCGACTAGTATATTACTCGTTAGTTAATATCCTTCCTTTCCATGCCACAAAACACACTGCTACCCTCAAACATCTGGCCCTTCACTTACCTGGAAGTGTGCATGACTATTTTAGAGCCCTGTTTCCAGTGTATGGGATATCATCAAGCAATATCTGATGGCTCCTTCCTGCATTCCGTGTGGTTCAGATATGCCCTTCATTTTCAGCACCAGGGCACCAGTGTTTTACAAACATGCACCATGCAGCACAGGTCTTCTCAACATTCAGGAACAAAACTTCATCAGCTATCATGCTAAAGAAATGCTACAGCATTATGTATCTTCTATTACTAATTTCAGGAAAGAACCATCTGATTCTTCAGCACAGTTAACCTCAGGATTTCGGGGTGGGTGGGTGTGTGTGTGTGTGAGAGAGAGAGACTCTGAGAAAGCAAGTTTGGCACACAAGTCAGATATTGCAGAAGATATCCTACAGCACTCAATCCTTTTTACTCCATTAACATGAAATGACAGAATGTAGTGTCTCATCTCTTCTTCCATCATTGCTTCAAGAAGGTTGGGGCAGTCCTGTTGCATTTTTTTAAATGTTAACATTAACAAATAAACTAGGAGCATCAGCTTTCCCTGGGTTACTAAAAAGGAGAGTTAATTTTTATTTTAGCTGAGGAAGAGGAGAGTAAGTGAAGAAGTACGGCCTTGTACTAGGTTCCTTTGTAACTCCCACCCCCCAAACTAAAAGACCAACAGAAGAGAGTTAACTGATGGACCATACAGGAAAATGGTTCTCATTCTGCCTAAAAAGATATGAAAGCTGCAGAGGCAGTTACAGGTTTTCCCTCCTGCCTAGAGGGCCAATAGCAAACCAGGTGAATAGTCTCTAGGGGACAATTAAAGAAGAAGCTTTAACGGGCAAATGTGTAAAAAATGTAATTATTTCCTTCTATGAATCTGTTCATGCTAGGATATATTTTAGTACTTTTATCTTCGTTTTCCCCAATAGGGAACAATAGGCAAAGAGGTTTTATGAGATACATTGCTCTGTATATTTGCATAAATAAGTCTGTAATGTTATTTTACCATCCTATAAAAATACACATACTAATTTGTGGACTATAGCTTGCCCACTTCATATACATCTCAGTAGTGTGAAGGAAGTAGTGAAGTATTTCAGAGAACCAGTTTTATGGAATAAAGAAGTTACATGTATTTTCTCCCTAAACAATTATGATGGTTTGTATTGAGTAAAACCAGTCTTCAGTAGCCACATTCCACCAGAATTAAGATTGAAGTGGTAGCTTCCGGTCAGCATGTGCATACAAAAGCTTTCGCAAGGAACTGATGCAAAGTTAAAGACTAGATAGAAACTCCCACCCACAATACGAAACAAGATGTTCATTTAGTTTTATTACAGCTTCCAATCCAAATTCTTGTAAACAGAGTCCATATTGTTTAGGCATCTCTTTGATAAAAGTGTCTGTAGTTTTATAGAAAAGTCACATGGTAAGATCAACATTTTACCCTGTTAAGTGTTATGCAAGTGCGAAGAAAAACAAAACTTTCAAAGTCTCAAAATACATCCAAGCAACCTACAAAAGACCTGATTCCGCTCTCATTTTGTCCAACTGTGTTGTGTGAAACTCAGTTATATGCCTCTTCAGAGGCAAATATAAAGTTTTTAAAAAATATTTAAGGACACATTATTTTAAGGACCTCCTGGAAAGGTGTTTTTTTGTTTTTTGTTGTTTTGGTGGAAAACAAAAGTGTTCCCCTGGTGATAGAGTGCAAAGCTCAGTCTTGTCTTCGGTGTTCTCAATAATCCTTCCCTTTACAGAGTCATGGTAAGACAAAGCTCAATACTTCGGGATGAGGAAGATCACATCTGTAACAGGTGAACACTGGAAAAAGTTTCATGTTTAATCACAAAACATGGAATAAGCTAGAAAAATATTGTCCAGCTATGTCAATACAGTTCATATGCCAATGGCCTGAAGCACTCTTCTCTCATTCTCATTGAGATGGTCTGAGAACATTGCATAGCAAGGCTGCTGTGCAAACTGACAGAGGAAATCAGTGAGATAAGCCTAAAAGGTAGATGACAAAGGACATAGTTAACATATTTCAATACATCTATCATTGCTTTACTTTGGACATTACAATTGCATAATGTGAGAGAAGACAAAGTGAACGAGCACAAACGAAGAGTGGAGGGGAAAGGGATACTGTGCTCAGCTGATAAGACAGATGCCTAATGCAGTATGGTCTAAGTACATGCCAAACAGACCAAGCCAAATGGGGTTCCTAAGCTCTAACCAAGGCATAGGTCAGGGAACACAGAGCCAGTCAGATCATTTACTCAAGACAGAGCATTGGGAGGTGTCTATGAGTACGCTCTGCAGTGGAAAGAAGCATTATTACAATCTGTTTCCTAGATTCTGACTGATTACTCACTCCATCTCCCCACAACCCAGGACTTCCCTGTAGCAGAATGTATTGTGTCACAGCTAGTTCAAAAAGTCACAAATGACAAAGCTTCTGTTGTTCCCTGACAAACTATGACATGACTTAATACACTTTAGTCCAGCAGTTTCCTTCTTAAATACATGCTTAGTTTTTCCTTAATGAAAATTTCACATTGTTCATTCCCTCACCAGAAGTAAGGAGAAAACAGGCTGCCGCAGAGGGCTGAGGAATAAGGGGAAACATGGTGAAAGGAGGTTACAGTAGACGGAGGGAAAAAAGCAGGAGGGAAGAGGACAACAGTTGGAAGGATAACCTGCTGGTGGAGGCAGAAGAGCAGGACACGATAGGTGCAGAGGAGGTAGAGATGGGGTAGACAGGAGCACAGAGACAGTGTTAAAGGTGGTAGCAGGGCAGAAAGGCACACTCCTTTGTAGAAACTGAAGGAACCTGGGACTCCACTGTTTATACTTCCCTTTCCTCGTGGCAAAACCTGGTGAAACCCGCTGGCCACACAGAGGATGGCAGCATGCTACTGCTATCAGTTACTCCCTTAACACAGTTGGTATGGTACACGGTCAAAACCCTGCTAACGCTCAAAGCAGGACTGAATACGGTTTCATGTGATGGATTTTTTTTTTTTTTAATCAGAAACTCCAAAAAAGAATGGTAAGGTTGCAAAGTTGTGTATTCAAGAGTCGGGAAATGCCAAAATTAGGATTCCCACACAGCCTCAATTCAGACCCCATGTGCTTTTGCAAAAATTTCAATGTTATTTAACTGGATTTTTTTTTTAAAGACGTTGAAATGCCTCAGATTTGCATGTGCTAGAACTTATTTGTTCTTTTAAACTAGGAAATTCGGAAGAAGTGGGCTGTGCCCACGAAAGCTCAAGATACCATCTACAATCATGTTTTGTTAGTCTAGAAAGTGCTTCCAGACCATTTGTTGTTTTTTTTCTGAAAAAAAAAGTGTTAAGTGGCAAAGTCAAGCACTAAAAATCAGGAAATGCCTGAAACTTAGGTGGTCTGCACAGCTTTAATTTTGACCCATTTCACATATACATTGTGACAAGTCATTAAGACGGTTATGTAATATATCTTCTCTTTGTTCAGCATAAAGCCCTATGGTTTATTTAGGCCATAACACCCAAGCACTGCACTAATTAAGCAAACTTGGCCTTGTCTGGTAATAAATATGAAACATCACAGACTCACACCTCTCCTATCTTCCATAAGTTGCAAAGATAATTACTGGTGGCTTATCGTCTAAGTCAGCTCCTTGAGTATTCTAGGACAAATTTCATCAGGCTCTGCTGACTCGGCCATAAGAATGGCCATACTGGGTCAGACCAAAGGTCCACACAGCCCAGTGTCCTGTCTTCTGACAGTAACCAACATTGGGTACTGCAGAGGGAATGAACAGAACAGGGAATCAAGTGATTCATCCCGTCACTCATTACACCAGCTTCTGACAGAGGCTGTTCCTGCCAATCCTAGTTAATATCCATTGATGGACCTATGCTCCATGAATTTAGCTAGTGGGTTTTTTTTAAATAAGCACTCTTGGCCTTCAGAATACTCTGGCAAAGATTTCCACAGTTTAACACAATTGTATGAAGAAACACTTTGTTTTAAAGCAGATGCCATTAATTTCATTTAGTGACCCCATAAGTTCTTGTATTCTGAGTAAATAACTCTTCATTACTCTCTCCACACCAGTCATGATCTCAAAAATCTCTCATGTCCCCCTTGAGTTTTTTCCAAGCTGAAAAGTCCCCATCTCATTAATCTCTCCTCATATGGAAACTGTTCCATCTCCCTAATTATTTCTGTTGCCTTTTTCTGAACCTTTTCCAATTCTAAAAATTTTTTTAGACAGGGCAACTACACCTGCACACATTATTAAAGAAGTGGGTATATTAGGGATATAATAGTGTAGTCGATTAACCAATTAACTGATAAGCAAAAGCTTATGGGCTAATGCTATAGACTACATGCATTTCCCTAAATTTTTTAGCAGGCTGGCCAGCAGCCTGGCTGAGCCCAGTCTTGAGATGGGTCTGGGACTTACCCCTGCAGTGGCTCTGCTTTTAAAGCATATTAGGAGCTAGGTGGGCAGGCAGTCTGTCTGAATTCTGGCACGCACTGGGTCTGGGAGCTAAGACCCACCCTCCAAAACAGTGGCTGCTGCCTCTTTATCAGAGACAGTAGCACAGGGCGACAGCCGGTCTTGGTGTGTCTTGGTTTTTCAACTGGTTCCCCTCACAGACCAGCTCCCACCTGACACCCCGAGTCAGAGGCAGCAGCACAGAGTGTCAGAGGGCTCCTCGAGAGTGATGCCAGATTGTACTGGAATTATAAAATAGTTGATTAACCAATAAGAATAAATGAGGTTACTTGACTATTTAATTAACTGATATTTAACATCCCTAGGGTGTATCATGTATTTATGCATATATGCAATATATTTTCTGTCTCAACTTGAAGACATCTAATTGGTCCAACTAATTTTTAACTTGTTCTTTTCCTATTTTAGTCTTGAATCCTACCTAATTTTCATCGGTATTTGATCAGATTCTTTTCTGGTAAAAATAAAAAAGGCTCATAATACTTACACTATTTCTACATTTTCTATTATTCCTCGACCCCTCCTCTCCCACCTGTGAAACTGAGCAACATGCTTACTTTGTCCTTGGTCTTCCTCTTGCTTCTCATGTATTTTTGAAATGTTCTCGCTTACCCTCTCTTACTATTTAGTTTAATCTCATTTTGTGCCTTGTTTTTTCTAACTACGTATTTGTGGGGTTTTTTTAATTCATCTTCAGAATTTCACCTAGTTCTCACATTTGTAGAACTCTTGAGTTTTAGACCACTGAAGATCTCCTAATTAAGCCAGGGTGGTCTCAAGGCTTGCTACCTATCTTTTTGACTGCCAACTCTTCCATTTTCTTCCTAAGGCTTGCTTCCCTTGGGATCTTCCCTACCAGCTCCCTGAGTTTGCAAGTATGTCTTCATAAAAATCAATTTTAATTATTCTGCTGTTTTCCCTCTTTCCATTCCTTATAATCATGGACTGTCATTTTATGATCACTTTTATCCAGATTGCATTCCACTTTCAAATTCTGAACCAGTTCCTTCCTATTGCTCAAAATCAAATCTAGATCAGTCTCTCCCCCCTAGTTGCATTATAATAGCTGTATTATTTTCCCAAGAAATGTCTGGATAGCTGAAGTCCCTCATCAATACCAAGTCTCCTACTTAAAATAACTTAGTTTTTTGTATTTTTTTTTTAAAGACCTTCATTCACTCTTCTTCCTGGTTAAGTGGTTGATAGCAGACCTCTATTATGACATTTCTTTTTAAAACCATCTTTTATCCTTAGCCACAGATTTCCAACTATTTCCATTTCAAATGTATGTGGAAGATTTTTTGGTGACGGGTGTGCGTGCACGTCTAAGTGTAACGTTTGGTGTAAAGTCTTACCTCTGTTCCTGGTAAATTTATTTAAATGATAAATAAAAGAATAAACATTTGGAATATAATACTATGCCAAGGAAGATTGCTTCTCACTAATTTATCAAAATTCTCTAAACATGTCAAACCAACTTCTAAAAGAATTAGTTGGCAGGAGGAATAGAAATTTGGTGACAGAAGATAAACCTTTGTTTATGGGATTGGTATAACTAAATTCAACGGCTGAAAGTTGAAGCTGGACAAATTTAGACTAGAAATAAGGAACAAATTTTTAACAAAGTAATTATCCACTAAAATAACTTACCTAGGATTGTGGTAAGAGCTTAATCTGTGCCTTGCTTTCTTTTACATGCTGGTGCTCAGCCCTGGCATGTTTTCTGTCAGTGGCGTGCAAGGCATGACCCACATTCACAATGATTATGAGATCATGCTGTGCAGAAGACACCATTTTTAATGCTTGAGACCAGGCTTCTTTTTTTTTTTTAAACAAATTAAGCACTGGTTGTGGTGGACTCGATTACTAAAAACTTTTAAATGTTCTTCCAAAAAGGATACTCTAGGTCAGTGGTCCCCAACGCGGTGCCTGACAGCACCATGGCGCCCACCGGGGTATTTATGTGTACCCGCCTAGTGACCAGGGTCAGCCCGAGCCATTCTTGCGCCCCAGGCGCATGCACAGCCCCTGCCCCGGCACACGGCGCATGCACGGCCCTGCCTCCAAGCGCGCAGCGCATGCGCAGTCCCGCTTCTGGGCTCCGAGCAGCTCCAAAAGGTTGGGGACCACTGCTCTAGGTCAAACAGGAATTAATTCATAGAAGTCCTGTGGCCTGTTATACAGGTCAGATTAAATGATGACAAAGGTCCTTTTGGATGTTAGAATCTATGAATCAGTTTAAACTTCTTCTTTGATAAGGTCTATCTTAACAGGCTATTAAAGAAACTAAGCAGTCGGGGCAAGAGGCAAAGTACTGTCATGAATCAGACATGAAGGCTAATAGCAGAGTGCCTCCAAGTTTCACAATAGGCCCAATGTATAACCAATCAAACGAGAAAAAGGGGGTGAGAGTGAACTGGGAGAATTTTTAGATGACAGTTATTTAGGATAATTAAGTCAGAGAAAGTTGAGGAGCTGCAGAGGGACCTAACAAAGCTTCAGACACAAACTATGCCAGCGTGACAGTCGCTCCCCTGGATACATCCTACATGCTACAACAAGGGCTAGTCACTCCCAATCAATTTCTATCTTTCATAAAAAAATGCATTTCTAAGTTGTAGGTCATTCCCACAGCACAGATAAGTCACAGAAAGCACCTTTTCCTTGCTTGTTGCTTTTACCACGTCACCCCTCTGAGTCTCTCCACTGGCTCCCCCCTTTTCTACCGCACCAAATGTGACCTGCCGGTCTTCACTTTCAGGGACTTTATTCCTACATTCCTCATCTCTCAATTGCTATCAAGCTGCGATTGTTTGTGTCCAGCTGACTCATGCAGCCTCCATGGCCCACTGGTTAAATTTTCAAACAAGAGTCTTGGTGTTTTCTTCCATGCTGCCTTCTCACCCGGGAGGCATTTCCCATAACATCTGCAAAACTACCTCAGCCTCCTTTAATCCCTCCTAAACACTCTCCTTTGCCCTAATGACAGAGTTATGCTGTTGATGTGCTGAAACCACTGTTCACCTTGCTGACCATTATTTCCTCATGCTCCTGTCTGTATCCATCTGTTGTCTCTTGTCATATATATTGGAAGCTCTTTGGGGCAGAGGCTGTTTGTTTGCAAAGCACCTAGAACAATAGGATCTTGCATCATGCCTAGGTGCTATAGCAATACAAATAATAATGATAATATAAATCCTTTGGTACTTCCAGAGTAGTACCAGTGAACCAAATAAAAATTCTGAATGTACTCTCCTCGCAGTGCTCAGGGGCTCCACATTGTGATATAATGAATAACTAGAACTAATAGGCAATGGGAATCAGATTGCAAAACTCATTCAAATACATCACCTGAAGATCTATTTGATAAAGAGGGTCCTTTAATGCATCTGGATCATCCTCTTCATCATCATCATAGTAATCCTCATCTGTCAACACAAAAGCACAAGTGTTTATAGTGAGAGAGGAGACTATCATTTAAATGGTGCATCCTGCTATGCCTCTGACTAACTCCAGGATATCCACAGATTTCAATGAAGCTCAGAAGTGTCATGTTGGATAAAAATTCCATTTAAAAGAAACCAGCAATTTTTATTTTAAATGGGCTAAGGCCAGTGAAGAATGACAGAACAAGGAGGTGCAGAAGCCTTAATCACTCACAGCTGAGACAAGACTTCAAGTAGCATAAGGATCTGGGAGAGGCATAAGGATCTTGTGCAAAATGGGCTTTTTGCGCAATAAAACCCCCATCCACTCTGCTCATTTTTGGGCAAAAACGGCTTGAATAAATTATGCAAATGAAGCATATCAATATGCTAATTCATGCTTCATTTGCATAGGCACTGTAGATGTAGCCTGAGACTATCTATGATGAGGCACTGCAGTGACAACTATGATGTAGTAGTATTTTAAGTCAAGAAAACCCTGAGACTCAAAAGGTGCTGTGTTTCTTATCTTCTAGCCTATGAACAGTGTCTGGTCCAGGATGTATTGTTAACTCTTTCCTTTCTCCAAATCAAACCCTAGTCTTCCATTCCAGGCTATTTCCCTGCCCTCCTAACTATATATCAAATAATTGTCAGGAGAAATGTAACTTTCAGAGCTGCAAATGCTTTACTCAGGTTGATCTTCTGAAGAATGAATGTAACACTTCTGATTACCATATTTGTTTGTGGAAAGAATATCTGATAAAAGTTGTCCAGCTAAACCGTCATCTTCATCCTCTTCATCTTCTCGATCTTCCCACATATCATTGGAGTCATCTGTTGATTAAAAAAGCCATCTTAAAGACACAAAAATATCAATTCAAGACAGATAACCATTACCCACAGAATCTTCAGTCCGTCATTAAAAGTGAAAGAGAAGAAGTGACTTATGATCATGTATTTGGAACAGGGAAGCCAGTATCTTAGCATTCATGTATCTTTAAAGACATGTATCTTTAGGTTTATGAACTGCAAGAAAGTAAGATCAGTATCAGCACAAAGCATATCTGAAGGAGAATTTAACAATCAAGAAAAACAAGGATTACAATACAAGTGCTAATGGACTATGACCTCCCCCCACCTCCCCCCGAGGACTGTTTAAATCAAGAGACAGTATTGTACAGTCTGTGGTGAAAGCACTGGACTGGCCAAAGAGTGGGTACAATCAAATCAGGGTGGAGATACTTATTCATAAACAATCAGAAAAGAAAAATTATTAAAAAAACAAAACCTTTTTCCTTCAATTCAAGACATAAGCAGTTCCATGGGTAATTAAGACAGTGAATATTAGATGAAAAGGAAACAGAAAGGTGTATTACACAATAATGTTTTCTGTATTCCTCAATTCTCTTTTTACAATTCAATATTTGACACAAGTCTCAAATGTTATCGAAATATTTTAACACCCGCATCCATTTAATCTATTGTTATTAATCTGGTTATCAAATACTAAGACTGTTTTGTGTATCAGACTGAAGAATGTAATATTCAAATCTAAAGTGGCAGGCAAATAATGTAACATTTAATAAAGTCCCAGGATGTCTAAACAGACACCACAGTTAGGAGGGAGACCTCTACTCCAATGGGGAGTATTAAAAAAAAAAGGTTACCTACCTTTTGTAACTCTTGGTCTTTGAGAGGTGTTGCTCATGTCCATTGCATTCTAGCAGTGTGCACTCCCACATGCCCGGCTCTCAGAAATTTGTCTTAGTAGTACCTGTAGGGCCAGCTTTGGTGCAATCTAGAATGCCGCACTCATGCCACAATATATCAGGCACTGTCAGCCCTATACCCTCTCAGTTCCTTCTTGCCAACAATGCGGGCAGGATGGTGGATAATGGAATGGACATGAGTAACACATCTCAAAGAACAGTATAGGTGGCTCACAAGCAGTACCTGCGGAGATGGGCTCAGAGTTCACAGTCTTGCAGCTTGAAGCACTGCTCTGCCAAAGCCAGTGTTATCTTCAGCTTGCTGGGTTAAGTGTGTAGTGTGATGCAAACGTGTGGACGCATGACCAAGTGGCGGCCCGACAGATCTTTTCGATTGGCACATGCACCAGCAAGGCTACTGATGACACCTGTGCCTAACTGAATGAGTCATCGAAATTGCTGACGAGAGCACCTTTGCCAGCCAGCAGTAGACAATGCAAGCCATGAGGCAACATGAGATTCTCTGGGTTGACACCATTTATCCCATCAGTGGCAGCAATGAACAACTATGCTGATTTATGGTACTGCTTTGTTCTATATATATATAGAAGGTCAGTACCTGTCTTGATGCCCAGGGTATGTAGCATGCACTCCTCCCCCATTGCATGAGACTCTGGACAAAGGACTGGTAAGTTAATGACTTGACCAACGTGGAACTGGGAGATGAGCTTAAGCAGAAAGGCCAGGTGAGGACGCAATTGTACCTTGTCCTTATAGAAGACCATGCCAGGTGATTCTAAAGTGAGTGCCCTGGGCTTGGATGCCCTATAGTCAAACTTACAGCAACCAGGACAGATCTTCCAGGACAGAAGCAGGAAGGAGCAGGAAGTGATGGGTTTGAAGCGAGGATCCAGTAGCCTTGACAGCACAAGATGCAGGTCCCAAGAGGGAATGGGGTTGCAGATATGCAGGTAAAGATGCTCCAGACCTTTTAGAAACGGCACTGTCATGGGAGGGGTGAAGACCAGCTGTCATGAATAGGAGCTGCTAAGGAGAGTTTGACTTACCTGGAGAGTCAGAAAAGGGTTAAGCAACTATGGAAATGCACCTGAGGAAGGGGGCATTGGACATTCGGCCAATGAAAAGCAGATAGGAATTTCAAACAAAGGGGGTCCCCCCCCCCCCCCCCTTTGCTCTTCTTTTGTTTTGAGATTAGTTTTCCTCAGGTAACAAGGGAGATGGCTCTCCCAGGAAAGGACTCCTTGAAAGATGTACATAGGGAAAAGTTTAAATAGTCCGTCAAGTTTTATTGTTTTCCTTGTTTGGGGGTTTAGACATCCTGTCTAAGCTGGTTAATTGTTTTGTCTCTTGTAATGAAGGATTATAACCCAGTGATTCTCCCTGAGTCTACTTCACTCCATGGCTGTTTAACACACAATACTATGCTTGCAACAGTAGTCTTGTTTGATAACAGTGTTTTCCTTTTTATTTTGATTAACTGGTATTGCTTGATTTTTATGTCCTTAAACTTACGTGCCTACATTACCCGGGAGGAGCACAGTCCCGTTGTTCTCTGTGGATTCCCTCTATTTTCCCAACTCCAAACAAAACCGAGGTTGGGATGGGGGGAGAGCTTTGCCTCAAGGAGGCTATTCCCAAGAGATCTCTTCCATGGAAAAGGATTTATTTATTTATTTTTAATTACACTTGGGTGGTGGTAGTGAATTTTTTTTCTTGGGTCTCAGGGAAACTGACACCGGACAAATTTTTGTCTGGGAGTTACACACAAGTTCTTACAGAGTTTCTTCTGCTAGTCGGACCACTTCTCCAGTGCGTCCAGATAATTTTGAATTGTGACACTATTGTCCAACGCATTTGCAACTCCTGCCAGCTTGGTACAAGCTGCAAACCTTATACGTGTACCCTCTGTGCCATTATCTAAATCACTGAAGAAATTGAGTCCAGTATTCTTAGTAGAGAGTTTCCAGCTGCCCAGCAGAACCTGTTAGACTCCAGCAAAGCGGTCTCACTCACCCCTACTTAGCAACGTAGCTGTCATGCCAGCAGGGACCTATATTCAACTCCACGAAGGTGTCACTTCAGAGAGCTCCACAGCTCACCCAATGGGCTGCTAAGTGGAAAAAAAAATCTCTCTAGCCACTGTGCACTCTGTGTGTTCACAAATGATGGGAATGGACAAGAACAATCACTAAAAGAAAAATTATTTTTTCTCTGCCCATTTTGATGTTGGAGGGATAGAGAAGGAGGTCTTCCACAGCACCTTGGCTGTTACCAGGACCCCACCACATACAGGCAGGATGATCCAGGTGCATGTAATGGCCAAGAGAACATAAAGAATCTTCTTGCTCTGCCAACTCCTGTAGCTTGATCCTCAAGTTCTCAGCCAAGTGCTGGAGAAGGGCTGGATGCTCCCAAAAGTAATCCAGCAGGCTAGCCGGGGAAGGTCCCATGACCACCTCATCCCACGGTGAGGAAGACTGGATTGCTGGTGAAGGTGCTGGGGCACCAGCCACGGATGGAGGTGGCGGCTTAGAGATGCGCACAGATTCCTCCACTCTGACTTCCCATACCAGACGCAGTGGGGCCACCAACTGCTGTTCTGATGTGGCCACTGAAAAGTGTGAAAGAAGGAGACAACATTACAACTGGCATGCCCCACATATTCAAGTCACTGGCCATGCCATCACTGAGGCGCTGCAGTTGAGGAGTAGGCTCCAGTGCCCGATCATGCTAACGGGACCTGGGCGATAGGCTGAACCGGATCTCCACTCCAGAGGAACCTTCTTCAGGTGACCAGAGAGGCACTATCAATGCCCATGTTTGCTTACTGATCATGGCTAATGGCAACTCTTGATCAGACATAACTGATCAGTGTACCCTGTAAGCTGCATGCCTGTGCAGCTACTCCAAAGAGATTCAAATGCCGCCCAAGTGATTAGCAAAGAACCCTCAGTTATGTTCTCTTTCTATTGGGGGTGTACATTTATACATGCCTTGGTGCAGATACATTTTATTCTGCAGATGGATGGAAAAGATAAGAGGGAACAATGACAGTGACTGCTGGGGAGACCAGTGCCGAGGAGAAGTGGGGAATGTTCCCACTGCACTAACAATTGGAAGATGCCTTTAGAATGGCTGGTGAGAGAGTGAGCAAGGTGGGAATAGTAGGGAGAATGTCAACCCTGGGATCCTGCCCTGGGATTTCCCATGCAGCAGCAAAGATCAACGTCTTCTCAAGTAACTAGCGGTGCTCCCCAGCCTCGTAAGGGGACTAATGGCAAGCTGACCCTCCTGGGGAGAGTTAGCCAGGTCCTATGGCACAGAGGACATCTGTGGAGCTTGGGATGCCAAAGTGCAGGCAGAGGTGTGGGTCTCACACTGCTCCCAGGAGTCAGTGGAGGGCCTTTAAAGAGGCTAAGAGCCAGGAAGGCACTATTGCATGGCTGCAGCATGACCTGGCAGCATGACCCGGGGACTTTTTGCTCAGTGCCATGAAATGCTTCTTGGCCTCCTTCAGCACTGGCAATGGTTAACAGTTCTGGCAAGAGCCAAGTTCCAGTAGAGAGCTGTGCATGGAGGCCGAAGTACTCAGTGCAAACTGCTTGGAAAGATTGGAAACTGGGCAAAGGGCAGACTCCATCAAGAAAGCCCTAAGGTGGATATCCTCCCCTTTCTGGATGTGGGGACAAAAGCTTTTATAAATTTGGGACTGCTCCTTAACATGCAACATCCCCATGCAATTAAGATAACCGCTACTGGGGTCACTAACAGTCCAAGCAGGGTTTAACCCAGGAGATTGGGCATGTCCCGCCTAGGGCAAAGACCCCACTGGGACCCTAACTTCTAACAAACACTTAACAACAAACAACAACAACAACTTAACACCACCAAAAGCAAATAGTGTACGAAGACCCTAAAGTTCAAAAAGGAGAAACCTCGAGCGCCTGCTTAGCAAGGAAAGTCCTCCAACTGACCCCCAGATATGGCAGGAGTGCAGCAGTCCAAAGGGCACCACTGGACCTACAGATATTGCTAAGGCACAAATCTCCAATAGCTGCCCATATGGGCACCTGCACGGCTAGAATGCAATTGACTGAGCAGGCACTCTAAAAACTACTGAATGTGCTCATCTCTTTGGAGAGTCCCTGGCAGAGCCATATAAAGGAATTTAAAATGTGACCACTTCTAGAGGGATATGTTAAACACACACAAATGAAAGGCTTGCATTACACATCCCACTTCTCAGGACACCTCTGGTGGGGATGCCCAGCAGAGATGAGGCAGCTGCAGGGCAACTGGCTGAGCTTCTCCTCTCCCCCATCCAAAAACTGCTGTTTCTCCTTCCCTGCAGCTGAAGGCCCAGTGCTGCTGCTTGCTTTGCAGACTGCTCACCTGTTGGGCAGTGGAGGCAGAGGCAATGTGTAGGACTCTAGCAGCAGGGAAACAGAAGCAGCTACAGGGATGGAGCGAGAAGCAGCTCAGCTGGCAGCCAGCCTCCCCCTTTGCTTCCTGCCTCCTTGGGTTGTAAGAACACACCAAGATTTACTAGGCCTTCCCCATCCACCCCGTGCACACCTCTGGTCCCTACACATTCCCAGTCAAGTTGGCCTGAGTCTCCCATTTAGTACCTTGATCTTATGTGCTGGCTGCCAACATTTGCTATCCTCCAATTCTCTAGCATAGAAGCTATTTTTAATGAGATTGCTTAGTTTTGCTAGCAGCTCAGCTGCTCCATTCATTCTTCACCACCTGAAGGGAGAAAGTTATCACGGTATCATACCTTGACTCCAGTCTGCAGCTGACTGGCGAGATGCATTCGCTTCCATTGCGTTAGAAAGTTCATTTATTATTAATTTTAAGATTTTTACTAACAACGGAATGTTTGTCCAGCGTTCAGGATCTGTAAAACCAGAGGAAGGAATACATTGTAACAAACTAAATAAGAATCTTCAAAGCCACTAAAACAATCCAGTTTTAATACATGCTAGAAATAGTCACTGACCTACACTTTGGTGTCTGAAGTTGATGATAGAGGACAAAATCTTTTATCAATAAAATCTAAATTTGAATTCCATTATCTGTCAAAGGACAAACAGTGAAGAATCAGACCTGACAGATTTTAACTAATGATGGAACAAATACATTTTCACTCTCCATCTGTAAAATGGAGATAAAGGGCAGAGTAGCAGAAGTAGTATTGTGTTCTCTATTTAAATTGTAAGCTATTAGAGGCAGGTGCTGACTCTTCCTATGCGTTTTCACAAGGCTTAGCACACCTGGGCTCCAAGCTCAGCTGGGGTCTCAAGGTGCTATTTGTAATGTGACCTTTTATTTGAGCTGAACACTCTTTAGGACATTACTTTCATATTAATAAACCTCTTGAATAGAATAAACTGTGCAGAACCAAAGTGTTACATCAAAATTTAACAATTGTGCACATTCAATTCTTACATGGTTATGCAACACTGATGCATGAAACAAAAACACTAAAAAAAAATTGGACCCAAAATACCTATTAATTTTGAACCAGGCCCCCCAAAAACAAAAAGTGGAAAATGGTTAAAGTAATAATCAGATATTCAAGAGTTCTGTTTGATTGCTCAATTGTTAAAAGAGTTCTATTTGGATTAAGTATTGGAATAAAGTTTTCTGACTGATTACCGTAAAGTGGGTAAAATTAAAATCTTCAAAGAATAATGATTCAGGAATCACTTGGAACAGGGTCTGATGAACATTTGTGACTAACTCAAACACAGCAACGCTGACAAATTGCTTTAGTCTGGCAGCCTAGAACGATATTGCTAGAAAGGATCAGGTGACACTCAGGCATTGGAATAAACAAGCTTCTTTATTGCAAATACTGCAATATTCTGCTTTGGACCCAAATTCTTTGTCCAAGTGAGACCCTTACTTGGTAACATGAACACCTATATCATGAACAGTAATCATCATGTGATGAGTATACAGTAGAGTCCCAATTATCCAACCTAAACAGGACCAACAGGTGGTCGGATTACCGAAAATTTTGGATGATAGGGACTGTAGCTGGCGCCGCTTGGTCCCCATCCCTGCCTGGCCCTGGCCCCTTCCCTACCTGCAGCTCCCGGGTGCTGCAGGGAGGGGATGAAGCAGCACCAGCAGGAGCGGCATCAGTGGCTCCAGGAGAGTGATGGGGCAGCTCTCCCAGCCCACACCCTGGAGCTGCTGATGCCTGCAGCTCCCGGAGACGAAGCGGTGCCAGCAGGAGCGGCATCAGCGGCTCCCGGAGAGGGACAGGGCAGCGAGCAGGGCCATTCTCCCAGCCTGCGCCTTGGGGCCGCTCCTGCCGGCGTCGCTTTGTCCCCGGGAGCAGCAGGGTCAGATAAAGCGGAATGTCGGATTACCAAAGGTTGGATAATCCGGACTCTACTGTAATTATACCCACCTGTTTATTATTTATAGCGCTTTTGGCTGAAGCATGCAGTCCTCAACACAAACTCCCTAAATCAGTAGTTTGCAAGGGGAGGAAGGGAGGGAGATGTGACCCTAAATGTATATTTCAGAGAGAATAGGAATGGGCAAGAGCGAAGGAAGAGAATATTGCTTAACAGAGCATTCATTAGAAGTCACATCCTTGGAACAGCCACGTGCTTACCTATCCCGAGCAATCAGGAAGAGAGGAAAAAGGAGCACCAAAACATGTCTATAGACAGATTTTTTTCCCCGGTGTTTTTTTGGGGGGCGTGGGAGAGTCGTCCGGTATTTTTGTTTCAACCATCTGGCAACCCTAACCCCAGTCCCTTACCCCAAGCTCCCTTCTGCACCCAACCTCCATTCCAGACCCCGCATCTCCATTAATATCATGGAAGAGTGTGGCCCTTGACCACTTTCCAAAATCTTGGAGTGGCCCCCATCGAAAATTATTGCCCACCCTGATAAGGTGTTTATCCACACAAAGTTCCTGCAGCTTATTTTGGTGACGAGACAATAAATGTGCTGCAGCTGCTCCTTTAATCATGTATTCCCCAATGTGGCTTTTTAAGATCTCCATCCTGCCAGCTGTGAGCAAATCCTTGTGTCTATAACAGTAAGCTGCAGGACAGAAGTCTCAGATAGGAGTCATTTTATCATGGGTAATCTGCCGGATGAGCCACATCTGGCTCACCGGCCGTACTTTGCCCACCTCTGCTCTAACACCTAGTGGTGGTAACCTCAGTCATATGGCAAGTCAGTCTTTCATGTCCTCTACTGTGAACATAAGAACATAAGAACGGCCGTACTGGGTCAGACCAAAGGTCCATCTAGCCCAGTATCCTGTCTACCGACAGTGGCCAGCACCAGGTACCCCAGAGAGGGTGGACCGAAGACAATGATCAAGCGATTTGTCTCCTGCCATCCCTCTCCAGCCTCTGACAAACAGAGGCCAAGGACACCATTTTATCCCCTGGCTAATAGCCTTTTATGGACCTAACCTCCATGAAATTATCTAGCTTCTCTTTAAACTCTATTATAGTCCTAGCCTTCACAGCCTCCTCTGGCAAGGAGTTCCACAGGTTGACAACACGCTGTGTGAAGAAGAACTTCCTTTTATTAGTTTTAAACCTGCTACCCGTTAATTTTATTTCGTGTCCTCTAGTTCTTCTATTATGGGAACTAATAAATAACTTTTCTTTATCGGCCCTCTCCACACCACTCATGATTTTATAGACCTCTATCGTGTCCCCCCTCAGTCTCCTCTTTTCTAAACTGAAAAGTCCCAGTCGCTTTAACCTCTCCTCATATGGGACCCGTTCCAAACCCCTAATCAATTTAGTTGCCTTTTTCTGAACCCTTTCCAAGGCCAAAATATCTTTTTTGAGGTGAGGAGACCACATCTGTACACAGTATTCAAGATGTGGGCGTACCATAGTTTTATACAGGGGCAGTAAGATATTCTGGGTCTTATTTTCTATCCCTTTCCTAATAATTCCTAGCATCCTATTTGCCTTTTTGACCGCCGCTGCACACCGTGTGGAAGTTTTCAGAGAACTGTCCACGATAACTCCAAGATCTCTTTCCTGATTTGTCGTAGCCAAATTAGCCCCCATCATACTGTACGTATAGTTGGGGTTATTTTTCCCGATGTGCATTACTTTACACTTATCCACATTAAATTTCATTTGCCATTTTGTTGCCCAATCACTCAGTTTGGTGAGATCTTCTTGGAGTCCCTCACAGTCTGCTTCTGTCTTGACTATCCTAAACAGTTTGGTATCATCTGCAAACTTTACTACCTCACTGCTTACCCCTTTCTCCAGATCATTTATGAATAAGTTGAAAAGGATTGGTCCCAGGACTGACCCTTGGGGTACACCACTAGTTACCCCTCTCCAATCTGAAAATTTACCATTTATTCCTACCCTTTGTTTCCTGTCTTTTAACCAGTTCTCAATCCAAGAAAGGACCTTCCCTCTTATCCCATGGCCATGTAATTTACACAAGAGCCTTTGGTGAGGGACCTTGTCAAAGGCTTTCTGAAAATCCAAGTATACTATATCTACTGGATCCCCCTTGTCCGCATGTTTGTTAACCCCTTCAAAGAACTCTAATAGATTAGTAAGACAGGATTTCCCTTTACAGAAACCATGTTGACTTTTGTCCAACAAATTATGTTCTTCTACATGCTTCACAATTTTATTCTTTACTATTGTTTCGACTAATTTGCCCGGTACTGAAGTTAGACTTACCGGTCTGTAATTGCCAGGATCGCATCTAGAGCCCTTTTTAAATATTGGTGTCACGTGGGCTCCCTTCCAGTCATTAGGTACGGAAGCCAATTTAAAG